CCTGTGCTGGGCAGCTCAGCCCGGCCTCACCGCACCAGGGGTGGTAGTGCACCCCGTCCCCACCCCAGTGGGCCCAGGAGGGCACTCACCTCACGGAGCCCAGGCGGCTGTCGTTCAACTTCAGTTGGCTGAGGTTGGGCAGGTGCACCCCTGTGGGCCGCAGGGAGGAGGTCAGAGGCCTGCCCACCCGCTCCCCTGCCCGCCTCTCTGCACCCTCGCGGCCCCTCTGCCCCTGCTGCCCGTGGCTTCTCTGCGGCCAGGCTCAAAGGAAGGGTGCAGCGTGGGGCGTGGGAGGCATGCCTGAACCACTAGGGCCACGCGGAGGCCTCCAGGCCGCTGGCCTCTAGGAGTTGGCCTGGAGGAGGGGAGCCAGTGGGCATGGGCGGGGCCACCAAAGTTTGGGTCCCACCCCCAGCCACCTCCCATGGCCCGCCCATGGGCACCCCCAGCCGGTGTCCCCAAGCATCCCAAACTCCCCAGGAAAGGTTCTGAGCTACTGACTCCTACCAGGGACAGGGCACGGCCCTGTGAGACCGAGTCCCCAACCCCTAGACAGAGGAATGCAGGGAAGGCCCATGGGGTGCAGGGAAAACCCATGGGGTGCAGGGAAGGCCCATGGGGTGCAGGGAAGGCCCATGGGGTGCAGGGAAGGTCCATGGGGTGCAGGGAAGGCCCATGGGGTGCAGTGGTCCAGAGAGCAGAGCCTGGCAGGCAGGGCCCGAGCGAGCAGACCCTCAAAGAGCGGTCTGGCCCGGACAGTGGGGGGTGTGGACAGCGAGGGGCTCTTACCGAAGTTGCCCAGGCTGTGCTCACGGGTATCCACGCACATCTCCAGCGTGCTCACCAGCAGCAGGTCCTCCACCTGGGCCAGGGCCTTCTGCAGAGCCAAGGGGCACTCAGCCCTGGGGACTGGACAGCGGTCACTCCCTCCCAGCGCCCCTCCTTGGTGGCCCTCCGGCCTGTCCCAGCCTCACCTGGTGTGAGAGGCTCCTGGTGTGTGGTGCCGGGCAGGTGCAAGGCCAGGTGCACCTCCAGGCCCAGCCAAGGTGCCATGGGGGTCACTGCCCTGCCGGGCCCTGCTCCTGGCACTCCCTGGGCATAGCCAGGCCAGACCCAGTCCCACCCTGTCCTGCTGTCCGGGGTGGGGGGTTGCGAAGGACCCCTTCCGATGTGACAGCTGCCTGCTGGACTGGGGCCCCGGGAAGGTGTAGGCCAGCGGGAGGCATGGGGACAGGGCCTGGTGGGAGCGTCCCGTCCACCTGCAGTGACCAGACAACTAGGACCCTTCTCCACGTTGGTCAGGAAGTGGGGGGACCTCAGGCAGCCAGCTGCGTGCTGGCGGGTGCATCACCCAGGTGGGTCCAAGGAACCCTCCAGTGGGAGCGAGGGTGGGCGACGGAGGGCTTGGCAGTGGCAGCGTCCGCCCCTCACCGCGGCCAGAAAGGGAGGTGGGGCTGCTGGGAGGCGCAGGGCTGCCCAGGAAGCCACTGCGGGGACCTGTAGTCAGAGGGCTCAGCAGAACCTGCCGCCTGAGGGTGGGGCGATGACAGCAACACCTCCCCTCCCCCCATTTGGGACAAAGCCTTCACCAGCTGCCCCAGAGATGACCAGTGGGACCCGACCAGCTCCTGGTCTTTTATTCCCG